TCGGCTGCGGCTGCACCTTGCCCTTCCAGTATCCAGCCCGCGGCTGCGGCAGCACCTCGCCCACCCAGCATGCAGTGTTGGCGAGTGGCTGTGCCGGTCCCCTTGTGTCCCCAGTCAGCACGCAGAAGCACGTACAGCGGGTTGTGACCGTCGCTTAAAGCAAGGTGTAAGAGCCTTGTCACACTTTTGCGTATCGTCTTGCATATGAGTCGCGTACGGACAATTCTTTTATATGCAGCCGTACGCAAACTGCGCACATCATATGCATCTCAGTTGCTTCATGTAAGTTTTGTGAACGCCCTCCCCTCGACATTAGTGCCTGTTTTATTGATCGTCGTCCGCAGAGTTGTCCGCAGTTGTCCGCAGAACACTCGCTCACGATTACTTGTGAGGTACGGGATGACAAAGCAATATCTCCAGCGGGCCTCCAACCAAGCTAAGGGGACACACCCCAGTTTATTTTGTGTCTTAATTCGATTCTGCATACCCTCAACACTAGCGACCGGCTCTTTCAGGAAATACCTCTTGAGCCAAAACACTGTGTTTGCAAATGAAGGATATCGCTCTAGCTACGAGAACAATAGAATTTCAATTTCTTTCACCTTTCTTTCTTTCACTAACATTTTTGTAAATTTTAGGCCAAAAATTGTCCATTTTCACCAAATCAACTCATTATCTAACCTTATATAAATATATTAAAACTTGCGAAATCCATTTTTTTTTGCTATGGTTGGACGTGGGGTACGCACTTTACTGGAAAAAAAATCAATTTGCCCGCTTTTACTGTCACAATTTTTTTCGCGGAAGAATTGGTGTGTGATCCGCTAAGGCAACAACCCCAGTCGCTTCTTTGCCAGTCAGCCGTGTGATACCAGGGTGACAAATCATCTAAGTACCTAATGAATATTTCAGCAACCTTATTTAGTAGCTTCCTTCACCTAAGGCTACAGCAAGTAATTTTTCTGAGGTCGCATTGATTTTCAACTGATTTTGAAAAAAAAAAGAAATTTTGCTGCACTTTGACGTTTGTCAACATGACTAAAATATGTTGTGAAAGTATCGGTTCAGAGATCATAATGGTCATGGCAAACGTGAAGTGCAATTTCAGGTATTTAGTGGCGAGTGTTGACAATGGCAACTCTATGTTCCATCGCATAAGAGTATAAAGTGTAGTAGCTGAGGTGTTTAACAGAATAGGTTATAATATCATGTATTGTCGCACCAATTCTTGGTTGACAAGGCTTATGACCTCAAAGTTTGAAAATGAAGGAATCTTGTTTTACTATTGTCGGCCTTGTTTTGTCGCCCTGTCGCATTAGATTTGGAGACTGCGGAGGATGTCATCTATGAAATTTGCTTGCTGTGGCCTAAGTTACGAACAAACTACAAATGAACTCTATCTATGATATGCCTGTTATCTGCTTATTAACGTTTAACAACAACATGATTTGTGTGCAATTCTTTGCACTCAGTGACGACTAATTAAGGTCCGTATTAGAGGACGACAAAGGACTGGAAACAATAAGAGAACCTTGAAGTTCACGTGTTTTGGCTTCCACTGTGAACAGCGTAGTTTGACAGAATTTATCTCAGCTATCCATGGCCAACACGGAGAAGGAATCTCATTCAAGGTCTTAAATAGAAAACCCCGGCTCTCGTTTATTAGGCCACACCAAGTAATTCTTATGGATGGCGTCCCTACAGAGATACTATAAATCTAATGCGAGAGCGCGAAAGAAAACTACCAAAAAACAAACAAAACAAACGAACAAACAAATGAAATATACTAAGGGACGACATATTTTAGGACACAAATCCAATGAGAGAACATAGTGTACCAACCAACATGCAATTTGTTCGTCAAGAAAACATCAATTAACTAGAAAGGCCGACATTTGCTCGGGAGTAAATGCAGCAAATGGCCTCACAACGTCCCCCGCATCAGAAATGGCCTTATCCCCCTCCCGCACAAAGGACTATTCCTAAATCACCCCTATCCAAAATGTGTAGTGATCCAGTAGTATCATCATCATCATCTGGTCGTGAGAGTTTCACTGGTGCTCGTGACTCTCAGTAGTATAGCTCAATGCAACAATGGAATCTTTCAATGCCTTCTGCTGTTGGAACATGTAGAAAAATTGTTCTATTTATAATTGTCAGTTTGGGGATTTGGGTTTTCAAGCTACAAGGGCTGTTTTTACTCAAAGTAAGGTAAATAAAGTATTTTAAAGAAATGAATCGGAATAGTAAACATTAAACTCTAAGCATTTGGTGCCAAGATACACTTATGCTGAGTTTCAGGTCATTTGGTTTTCGTATTAGCGCACAGCAGACAAAACTGGTCCAAAATATCAAAAGAGTACCATTTTACATAATTCTAAAGTAACCCACGCAAATAACGTTCTGTGGGCTTGTATTCAAGGATCTGTCATACAAAATTTCAGGTCATCTGGTTTTAATATTGGAGCACAGGTGCCAGAAATATACATTTTTGGTCCGGAAATAGCCAAAAATACTTATTGTATACAATTGTATAGTAACTGATGCCAAAAGCGTGAATTACATTCTTTGGACATGTGTCCAAGGTATCCCCATACCGAATTTCAGGTCATTCGGATTTAATATTAGGACACATATCTAGGCTTAACGTCTACACCGAGCACTCAAGGGAGAAAATCTGTTCTGCAATATTGTTTTATTTATTTATACATTAGGATGCAGGATAATTAGGAATCAACGTACGTTATTGATATTAATAGAAGAAAGTTTATTACAAATACATGCCCTAGGGCTAGTTGCGGTAAAACTATATGAAAAATACAATGGTATAAGGCACTACGTCTAACATTATACTATATTCTACAACATACGTGGTACAAATTTTGCTGGGTTTGACTTCTTCTGAGGCAGTGGAAGACGAATTTACCCACTTCTTACATAGTATGTAGGTTCTTTTATTATATCAGTTAAAGTGTTTTCTTTTGGTAGGGGGTATTAAGTGTTTTCTTTTGGTAGGGGGTATTAAGTGTTTTCTTTTGGTAGGGGGTATTAATGGCGGTGTACAAAAACAACAGGTTCACGGAACTCATAGTTCTCCCCTCCCCACCATCTATCTAGGTCTGTGT